GTTCCATGACGATTTTGAGGATGCTTTCAGGTCCAATTCTACTGATTATTCCAAATAAGTTCTCACAAGAATTTCAAGAGAGTTCTGATGAGGGCTCCAAGCAGCGTTGCCAGATTGTTTTAAAGCTTATCGGTATCAATGGTATTAAAAATCGGTATTTATCGGTATTTATCGGTATTTACTATTTAATTAATTATATATTTTTTCCGTTTTTGAAAGCGAAAATTATAACGACGATGACGACTGGGACTTGAGGGGAATTGCTATGTTTAACAGCTTTCTTTGTATTAAAACAGCCTTTGTTTTTTTTTTAATTTTATTTTAAAAATTATCGTTGTCATTAAGTGGTGGTCAAAATTGTGAGAAAAAAGTTTTTTTTTTCAATAAAATATCATTAAATGAAACCAAAACATGGAAAATCAGCCACAACAACGACTAAACTATTGACAATTACGACAAACAATATTTTCACTTGAAAAAGACCAAAATTCATGGCCTAAATGTCCAGCATATTACATCGTAGTTGTTGCAGTTTTTAAGACTAAGAAAGCCGTTAATCAAAGAAAATTTTTAGCTTTTGTACAATGATCGGAAAATTCCGGAAGAAAACTCCGGGAATGTTTGAATTAGCTTCTGAACGGAGCCGAAAAAATATCCAAAGAAAAACGAAAGAAGCTGTCTTGGATGAAGTTCGATGAAAGTTCTAAGACGAGTTGGAAAAATATCCGGGAAACTGTCAAGCCACGAATTGAGAAACTTGTGGCAAAAAATTAAATAAACTATCGGAAAAATCGCATGTAACATCTAAAGGAAGCTAGAAAAGTTTCGGAAACCAGAAGTAAATTTTCAGAGGTAGCCATTTCCAGGGAAAGCCAGAAGAAGCTTGGAAAATCTTCCAGTAGAAGTCGAACAAACTTATGGTCAAACTTCCTGGAGAAGACGAAAGAAACTTCCTGGAGACGCTGTCAGAAACTTCGTAAGGTAGATTTGAAGAAAAATCTGAAGAAAGTCGGAAGCCAGAGCGCTTACGGAACAGTCGAAAGAAACAAGGACATAATTTTGGAAGAAATAGATTTCTGGGGGATGTTCTAATGATCCAGAAAATTTTCCTGATATTCATAAAACATCCCCGAAGACTCCTGAAGTTTTCGGAACATTCCTGAAATGCACTTGGGAATATTCCATAATTCCTCGAAAATCCTTAAAAGTTCTTTTAATTTTCTTGAAATTAGGGGCTGTTTTGGAGTTCCCTGGTCATCCTCGAAGCGCTCGGAATTTTCCTGGTTATAATAAGACTACCGGAATATCTTTAATCATCTTTGAACATCTCTGGACTTTCTTGAAGATCACGAGTTTTTTTAAGTGCTCTCACAATTTTCTTGAATTTATTGTAACATCAGCATTGAAGTTCTCTGATCCTCCCGATTTTTTTTAAATTTTTAAAAGTTATCGACACTGCCATCAAAACCATAGAACTTCCCATAAAATGTTCTCACGATGTTCTTATTTTCATGTAACTTCCATTACGTTTACTAAATTTGCATGAGCCCCTCAGCACATTGCTCGGAACTGCTTTATAACATTCACAAGACAGTGTTCACTCGGCTGTCGACAAAAGCAGGCCACTCTCGATGTGTGCTACGCGATCGTCTGTTTACTCGGCAGCAACCATTGTGTGGTCCTCCTCATTGTTCTTCATCAGCAGTTCTTTCGGTCGATGCGTCGTCGACTTTGGAAAGCAACCGTTTCGTGATGATTGTGTGAGTGCTGACCACGTTTTGCGTCCATTGCTGCAATGGACGCGCTCTGACCCTCGTTGGCGTACAACAATTTACCATACAATGAAACTACTGGAAGCGGATCCAGTTCTGATGGAGGAGGCTTTTTGGATAGCGGAAGATAAAGTGTTTATTGTGTTGTACCTTTTGACTATAGTTTTAAGATGTATTGTATAGTGACCATGAATCCTCGGCTCTGTTAAGTTAATTCGGTTGAGCCTTATCAAATAAATTAATATACAAAAAAAAAAAAAAAACATTCACAAGACGCGACGCGAGACAAGACACAACACTTATCGTTCTTACAACTTTAAAATAAATTAAAATTTACCTTACTGTCGACCGGTTTCGGGCGTGATGCTGCCCATCTACGGGACAATGTCCGACTGATTACTTGGATGTTCATACGTTGTTCCGTACACGTCCAAAAAGAAAAGAAGAGAAGCTACTGGATTCTCAGATTTGTCAGGTTGAAAAGGCAGGATATAATGGGGGGTTTATCTTCATTCATTAATGGTTCAGCAGCATTGGTGATGAATGATGATTCCCAGGCGTTTAGATGTGTAGTTTTTCCGACGGATTTAATGAGTTTTGCACCTTTCCAGTCAATGTTATGGTTTAAGCTAATTGTGTGTACTGCCACAGCTGATTCATTTGATTTTCTGTTGTCTACAGCATGTTTATTTTCCTTTAGGCGGACCTTTACTTAGCGGCGCGTTTGTCCAATATAGACTGAAGGACAATCCTTGCATGGAATTTGATAAATTCCAGACTGTTCATCCGGCGGAACTTTATCTTTCAAATTACACAACAGGTCACGCAAAGTGTTGTCGCTCTTGTGTACTACCTGTAGTCCTTGTCGCTTGAGTGTGGATTTGATTGGATTCGTAATTTTGGGATAGAACGGCAGGCTGATTCTTTTTACTTCCTCTCCCATTGTTTCTAGTGTGGTTATATTTTGTTGGTGCTTCTTTCGTTTGTGTTTTCGGAGAATTTTGTCCACGAACTCCTTTTCATACCCATTCACTTCAGCCGCTTTGTAGATACGCTCTGCAAACTCGTCATCCTCCATGGGTACATTGTAAACACGGTGTGCCATGGAATGAAAAGCGGCTTGCTTTTGAGCTCCAAAGTGGTTGGAATCGGAAGTAATGTAGCGATCGGTGGACGTCGGTTTGCGATAAATACCAAATTTCAGGGTGTCGTCCTCCTTTCTGGTTATCATTAGATCCAAAAAGGGCAATTTCCCATCCACCTCTTTTTCTACCGTGAATTTTATTGAACTGTGCCGGGAGAGTAGACTTACAGTTTGTTCTAAGTAGCGTTCTTTCACTGGTGCAAAAACATCATCTACATAGCGCCTCCAAACACGTGGGAAAAACTTGTGTTTTTCAGCATCGGCTTCAAAGTCACTCATGAAGATGTTCGCCAGGAGAGGCGAAAGTTTGCTGCCCATGCTTAGACCAAACGTTTGTTTGTAAAATTTCCCTCTAAAAGTGAAAAAAATCTGGTTCATGCATACCTCAGCCACAAGCAGATAAGCCTGGATGTGATTGTGTGGCGCTCGACTGCGTTCTAGATGTTGACGCAGGCTTCTTAAAGCGTCGGCGATTGGTACGCTAGGGAATAGAGCTGCAACATCAAACGATACCAAAATCTCACCTCGTCTCAACTTGAACCCTTCTAGCTGCTCAACCAAATCTACCGAATTTTTAACACTTTTTCCATGCGTTACGGGGTAGTTCTTCATTTCATCTACTAGCCACGCTGCCATTTTCTGCTTTATAATTTAAGCAATTTAATTAATTAATTGATCTGTCCTGATGTTGCCTGAGCTTCACTAAAGTTCGTGAAAACCATTGATTTTCCCTGAAGTTCTTTGGACTTGTGAAATTTCCAAAATATTTATGATGTTTCCTTAAGTTCACTGGAGCTCGCTGGACTTTTCTGAAATTCCCGAATTTTCGAATTTTAACAGAAGTGAAACTGTCTTTAATTTATCGAAACATACACATAAGTCTGGACTTTTCTGAAGTGCCTACAGCTAGTTTGGATCCGCGATAAAAATATGATAGCATTCTTGAAGCTCCGGGAAAGTTGAAAAAACTAGCGGGAGAAGATGAAAGAATGATACGAGTGAAGGGTGAAGAAGCTTCCAGGGTAAGGTGGAAGAAAACTCCTGGGAAAATTGGATGAAACTTCAGGAAGTTAATGTTTAAAAAATATTTCTCGATTCCCTAGGAATTACCGGAAAGAGCCATTGACTATTTCTCGATTGATGGGTAGCCAAAAACAGTGAGGAAATGCAAACATTAGTCGAAAAAGTTTCAAGCATAAGGCATCTTTAGAGATGATTGTTTAGAATTTTGAAGGCTCAAAAAATATGAGGTATTCAAAAAGATACAAGTCTCTCACAAAAAATTTCTCCAAGCGCAGACAGGCAATAATAATTTTGATTATTAAAAAAAACGGTATAAATCGGTATAAAATCTTAAAAATCGGTATTCTGAGGAACCTTATCTGTATATCGGTATCTAGTTTGGAAATCGGTATAAATACCGATAAATCGGTATATCTGGCAACGCTGGCTCCAAGACCATTCCGAGGAGAGCTTTAAGGCTATTGAATACTGAAATTTTGAGCACAATTTCATGTGCATTCTACAGAGAATTGCACAGGAAACTCGGAGTAGAATATCAAAGAAAAATAATTGTGAGGATATTTTTCTCAAGGAATTCCGAGAACACTTGAAATTAAAAGAGAATATTAAGGTAAATTTTAAGATGGTTTGTGTTCTGCAAAGATTTTTTAGATTGTACAGGGAGATTTTAGAAGAAACTACAGGGAGGTATCAGAGAGATTCTCATGTGCAATCCTGCAAAGATTTCGAACCCCTTCAACCTAGTGACGTCTTCGATTCAATCGCATTAAGTTTGTTGCCTAATTAGAGCACAACCGGGAAAATTGCCAAAACTCCGGGAGTAAAACGAAACAAAAAAAAAACGGGATATTAATAATTGACATTTGCTGATCACCATGCAAAAAAAAGCGATGTAGAGCTAGGTTGATTTTAGGTGGGATACCTACCGTTGAGAATCGATGCTTTTATATCCATATCAAGCTATTACAGCTCCCAGTTAGTTACCAATGATATTGTTATACTTATAAACACTATAATTTTACACAAGAAGTAACATATTTTTCCTATTGTTCCCCTTGCAGTCCCTGTTCACCGCCAATCCCTGCCAACATCCGATAGTGATACTGAAGGACGTGCAGTACAACGACCTCAAAACGATGGTAGATTTCATGTACTACGGTGAGGTGAACGTGTCTACCGAGCAGCTGCCCCAGGTGCTAAAAACGGCAGAAATGCTCAAAATCAAAGGCCTCGCGGAAATGCCGGACGCTTCCGCGGTGTGTAAGGCCGATCCGAGCAAGCTCGAACATCCGGACCTGGTGGGCGCCGGCCTAGGTCCGGGTGGAACAGGCGGCCCGGAATCGATGTGGGGCAGTGCAGAATCTCAACAGCAGCAAGCCGCCGCCCAGCAGCAGCAACAGCAACAGCAATACCATCAGCAGCTACAAGCCCAACAGCCCCAGCTGCGAAGGACACCCTCTCCCACCACCAACATGTCTCCGGCGGCGCGGCGGAAACGGTTAAGGAAAACCTCGACGGGATCGGGTTCGCTCTCTACCGAACGCATGCAACAGCAACAGCAGCAGCAGCACCACCAGCAGCAGCAGCAGCAGCAACAACAACAGCAGCAGCAGCAACAACAACAGCAACAGCAACAACAGCAGGAAGAGCACGGTACCAATACGGACGGAACGATAAATATCGTTCCCCATCTGCACATACAGCAACAGGTAGACAACATATCGTACAGCACCAGTCACAGTGCGCTGGCGTCACTAGCCGGGGCAGCCGGTGGACCTGGTAACAATATCCGAATAATCAAGGAAAGTCCCAGTTCTGACGTTGACCAGCAGCAACATGAATCGTCGCAGGAAAGTGTGGACGAGTCAGGACACCATATTCCAAGTATCATCGTGAGTAGATCCAAATGAGGACGCGTTTCGTCGGCACGATAGACCCTGCTGTTCAGAGCTAATTGATTTTTTCCCTCTTTTCATTCCATTGCTCTTTGACAGAAAACCGAGGACTTGAGTGGTGTGACGCAAACGATACCGATGGACATTTCCGCGACGTCGAGCAGCGTGGCGGCAGTCAATATCCCCCAATCGCAATCTCAGCACAGTGGTAAGTGTTTTTCTCAGCTCCTATTATCCATTTTTCAATTGCGTTTCTCTTCTATGGAGCTTTCGTTCGTTTTCTCCCTATCTTCCATCCTTGTTTTGATGTACCGATATGCTGACGTGGTGTTGATGTTCCGAAAAGTATCATACAGTCATTTTCATTTTTTCCCCTTCAACTTCATCCCACGGACGGAATATATCCAAATTTTAATGACGCAGGATTTCACAATTATTGATGGGCTTGGCTAAATACTGGCCGGTCTGTGACCAATAACCGTTAAAACGTTTCGAATTTTGCATCGAATTGTCATAAAAATTCAAATTTCACCCCGGAGCTAAAGTCATATCACTGTCACCGAATACGCGCCTAACAATGTCCCGTTTCGTGTGGATATTATTATCTCATTCAGTCATCATTGCGTTTCTGTCATCGATCGTCTTCGCTCGTGTCGCATTTATTAACGGCGACAGTCGGGAAAAAGCGCAAAAAATGCCCAACCCAAGTCCTAGGCAGGACATGGACGGTAGCAGCGGCTATAACCGGACAGACGGTTTGCGACGCCCCGTTCGAACTTTTTGTCCATTATTTACGTCCGAACATTCGCACCAACTCACACTCGCATATAAACGCCAGTTCGATTTCTGTCATTATTTGTTGTGAGGCGGCTGCTTCCAGCATAATTTTTCGTTTCTTCAACTCGTTTTTGTGTGTGTTTCGTTTGGCATGTGCAAAACTGCAGGAATTGTCCTCTTCCTCGGATCTGCAGCACACCGCCCCAGCACATCATTCCGCTTTGTTTCTCCAACTCATTTTTGAATTCATAAAATTTTATTAATAAATATTTTCATTTTTCATTTGCTTTCTCGTGCATAAATAACGAGCTGATTTCGTCATATCTGACTCATCCTTTTGGCCGTCTGTCGTAGTCGTCGAAATTAAACATTCTCGCGGCTCTCTGACCCCCTCATTGATTCGCTTTATTTTATTTTTTACTTCTTCTGCGAAAGCGCACAATCGCGGGATCACACCTGCTACTCTAACCCCTACACAGCACCACACTGATCGACCGACCGACCGACCGGGACAGTAAAATGGGGTGTGATTGATCAGCGTTACGTGATTGGTGCTGCGATTTGCGCACAACCGTTGAGGTCAGGATGTTTTAATGGGCCTATTCAATTTGCATAAAGTTAGGGATTTTATGAAGTCGTGGTTTTATCTATTTCAATATTAAAACAAAAATTATATTATAGCGGAGGCTTATCCGTTTGATTTCTGTCAAAATTTTAAAATTCTTAATTTAATGGAAATAATAAAAACCAAATCCATTCCAGCTTTGAAGATTTGTTTTAAATATGTCCATTCTCCGAACGCTGATTTCAACATTCCTCTCAATATAATGTTATGATTTTCTCTGCTATTCCCTTTAAGTTTTATCCATAATAGTCTCTAAATTCACGCACACGGTTTAGAACTTCCTTTAGGAAGTTTTTGGATTTTACTCTCTACCTATATTTTTCGTATTCTCAAAAAATTCTCGTTTGATCTTGCTTGAATATATCTCCATAATTCTCCTTAAAATTCCTTTCGAATATGCATCAGATTTCTCCTGGAGCTTATCTCAGAATTATCCAGAAATTCCCCTCAGGTTTCTTCTCCCTTGGAATTCTATACAAAATTCCCCTGAAATTCTCCTCAAAACTTCCTTGGGAGTCTCCTGAGGGTTTGTTTGCACCTTTGTTTTTGAAATTCACTTGATGGTCTCCTTAGTACTATTCTGAGGATTCAATCATTGGTTTTTCTCCTGAAATTTCCTTCGAAATGTCTCCAGAATCATCCTGGTGTGCTGCTCAGAATTCTTTCAGAAGTATCATCAAAATTCCTCTTTAACTCTCCTGAAAATGTCACTGGAATCATCCCAGATGCTCGTTGAAATTCTGTCAGAATACTTAAGGATTATTCTAGAAATTCCCTTGAAACTAGCTTCAGCATTAGTTTATAATTCTGCATTTTTTTCAAAGGATTATTCTCAGATATCGATTCTCTCGGAACTATTATCTGTATTCCTTTTTTTCCTCATTCGAGACATAAAAACACTACAACCAGTAATTTGATCTATTGTAGTATATCCCGTGCGCTAAGGTTTAGTGCATGTCGTATTACTCCATCACTATTGCAGGGCTGCTGGCGAGTTACTTTTTAGTGACTTGGTCACTTTTTTTCAATCCAGTCACTAAAAAGTCCCCTTTAAGGCCATGTCACTATTTTCAACTTGTTAAGAGTGAATTTATTTCACGATTGATTCTTCTTGCAGTGTTTAGTATCTGATGGTCCAATCGATTTTGTTCTAATTTTCGAACAATTCGCAATCCAAACAAACAATTCCAAGGCAATCTACGCAACGCAAAACGAAGAAAGCGACGTTGAACAGATTCAATTCTCTCGGCACCGTTGTTGTAGTTTAGGTTCCAAACCGCCGAACAATACTCAAGCGTCGATCGAACAAGCGAACAATATAAAGATTTTAGACAGTAGATATCAGTGAAGTTTTTAGCTATCCTAAAAATGAACCCTAAAGTTCTTGACGCCTTATCAACAACATATGCAATGTGTTGCTTGAATGAAAGCTGCGAATCCAAGATCACACCCAAGTCTTTCACCTGATTCACGCGTTCGATTGTCGAGCCAAGCAGGTCATAGCTAAATATTATCGGTTGTTGTTTTCGTGAGAACGTAATAGCGGAGCATTTGGCTGGGTTCACTACCATTCTGTTTAACCTGCACCAACTAGCGAATACATTCAGTTGACGTTGAAGAAAGTGACAGTCAGCAATGGAGCAGATTCGTAGGAAGATTTTGAGGTCATCTGCATATGATAACCGAGGAGCTTCGATGACCAGATGCACGTCGTTGAAGTACAGTATACAAATTAACGGTCCCATGTGGCTTCCCTGAGGTATACCTGATGTGGCGAAGAAGCTAGCTGATCTGCAATCTCCTATGGCAACATTTAGTAGCCGACCGGTAAGATATGATCGAAACCAACTCAGAAGATTACCGCATACTCCGAGCCTGCCGAGTTTAGCAATCGCAATAGCATGGTTCAACTTGTCGAATGCTGCGGATAGGTCTGACAGTAAACCCATGTTGCGGCCGACAGTAAACCCATGTTGATCAGCACTCAAATACTGCTTGCAATGGGACAGCAACGGTTCCATAATCACTAGCTCGAATAGCTTCGAAACGGCACTTAACGATGTAATTCCTCGATAGTTATCCACAGCTCGTTTCCTTCCTTTTTTGTGGACGGGAAACATGTGCGCAAATTTCCAGCAAGATGGAAATATGCCACCTGAGAGAGACATTCGGAACAGGCGAAGAAGCGGAATTAACAAGCTAGCAATATGTCTCTTCAAAAATACAGATGGAACTCCATCAGGTCCAGGATTGAAGGATGACTTGAGCAGAGTCGCGGCCTTAGAAATCATTTCTGCATTAACATCAATTGCACCCAGCGTTTGATCATTTACTGGAACGTTCCTGGCAGCCAGGTTAATATGGTCGTCAGTTAGTGTCTCATTAGTGAATACACTGGAAAACTTTTCGGAAGAAAGGTGGCATATATCCTGAACAGTGGCTGCAACTTCTCCGTTGAATTCCATAGACGATGGCAGGCTCGTTCACGTAGTTCCAAAAGGATTTCGGGTGTAGCTTAAGTTTGCGCTGGATGCCTCGTTGGAAACTTGAAAAGCATTCACGACTGACTCGCTGGTCCATGTGATTCAGCCTCACATAATGTAGTTTCAGAGGAAGCGTGCTATACTTCGTAAATCTTCTCAATGCTGCTCTCTTGATTGACTTCAACCTACGTAGCTCTCTCGTCTGCCAGGGAGGGTGAGACACTTTGTGGTGAGTTCTTTTCGGGACGTGTCTGTCAATGACATATGCCAAGACATGTGAAAAGGTTTGCGCTGCAGCCTCAACGTCATCTGGATCAAGGATGTTCTCCCATACCATGCTAGACAATACATCTATGATGCTACGGTGGTCAGCTTTACGGAAGTCATAAGAAACCGTAGCAGTATAGTCGCCGAAATCACGCACGAGTTTGTCCTCAACAGTGACAATTAGAGGAGGGTGATGTGGAACCAGCGTAGTTAGTGCACAATGAGCCGAGGAAATTGATGGAGCCCTGTCCTGTGTGCTCACGAAGCAGAGGTCCAAACTACGACCATTTTCATTAACTACATGGTTAATTTGAGAAAGCGTCGCTGCGCTGTAGTTGTCGAGAAGGCTAATAGCTCCTGCGTGAAATGTAGAGCTATCAGGATCTGGATACAGGAATCCGCTATGAGATGGACTCCACGAAACGCCTGGCAGATTGAAGTCACCAAAAATGAATATCTCATCAACTGGAGTGGAACTTTCGACAACTGTGAAAACTGACCGACAGTGAGTATCGATGAGTTCATTGTCGCGGACACGATCAGGTGGAATGTACAGAGCGCATAGAAATAGTGTGCGATCACCCAGATTGATGGCTGTCCAAACCTGCTCCACATTGTTCCATGAATCGTTCTCGATGGCCTTTGCCTCCAACCCGCTACGGACAGCTACAAGGACACCTCCACCAGTAGATTTACGGCTGTTGTTAGGATTCCGATCGCAACGAAAGACCTCGTAGTCAGGACCGAAGACTTGACTGGAAAGCGTTCGATAATCGAGCCACGTTTCGCACAGGACAATAATATCGTAGCAACGATCCGATACAGCTAGGCGGTACTCTTCAACATCAGAATTCATTCCACCGGCGTTTTGGTAGAAGATCACGACGTCCTGCTTGCGGCAAGAAATCGAACGACTGCTCTCCCTGGAAATCACAGATACATCAGGCAATAACTGACCATCATCAAGTCTCATTGGATACTCGCCATAGTGAGTGGGTTGGAAGACCCCCTCTCCGCATCCGACAGCAGGTCCGGAACGACTATGATGAACGAAGG